GCAGACGAAGAAGAGTCTGCACTAATCAACAACTAACACTTCAAATAAATACTCAACTGAGCTACACTTCAAATACTGTACTGAGCCTAAGCGGATACCTGACAATATGAATCTGAGTCAATGTCAAAACACTATCGGCACTTTTACATCATGAAAATACCCTGAAGCATGTAAAATTAGAACAAAAGCAAAAACTGAAGACGGAACAGAGCTGCATCAGGCAGTCAGCAATCCACTGACCTGACTCTGACATATTGCAGACAGAGCAACACACCACAACTACTTAAAATCCTGTCAATTATTTCTTACAAACGCAAGAAGAAATGTATTACGAGAACTGTGTTCAAATCAAATCTTCCTGACTGAATGGGTGAGAACAATCATAACTACGGAAGAAAAACTACAACGGCAGTACATGCAACTCATGCCCAAGAACAGACCACAGAACATGACATATATACAAGTAGACACGCACACCCCGATGTACCCACTCACTTTCAGTACACACACACACCACGAGGTAGCCACTCACTCTCAGTACACACGCACCACAAGGTAGCCACTCAGTCACACACAATACACACACACAGGGCATGCTGAGGTCTACATAATGCACACATTTACCTGAGAAAATAGCTTGTTATTATGTTATATATATACAGTGAAAATGGTTTCAGAGTCAATTCTTTAATCATATTTTTTAAAGTGCAAGCTGTGAATTTGGAGACAAGCGAGTCGGCAGCTCAATTATCTTAGTTAGAGCAGGGTTGGCGAATGTGATTTGACAATCCTCTGTCAGCTCTCAGTCCACTTACTTTGACACGTCCTATTGCCAGTGTCTCCCATCCACCATTCACATAACTTTACGCCATTTAGGAGACAGGCTGCTTCAGCCCTGCCCATCAAGGTAAAGCAAGATTACCTGAGACAATGTACCCCAGCAGAAAGCCTGAGATTCTTGGTACCATTTACTCCCCCATGTGGAAATCACACCACAGCATCTTGTTACTTTAAAGTTGACTTTTTCGCAATGAAAATACATCATGTTGCTTAATTTTAATAACTTTTCAACTGATTTCCTATTTCATAAGCTAAAAAAACCCTTGCTTCCATCACACTTTCCCCCGAAACAATGTAAGAGAGAGACTTTTTCTCTCTGGTCCTTGAAGCATCTCTCAATAGCCCCAGACATTACGAGGTTAACTGTGTGGTTCAGTTTCCATTGTATCCTAGAAGTTACATTATACCCAAACAGTACATGTTTTCACATTACTTAAAAAGCAGTATTTCCATAACCGATCATCAGTAACAGAAGAAGAGCAGCGATACGGGTCTGAGGTCAGATCATTGTTGTTTTTTGTTTTAGTAAGTGTTTTAGCTTTAGTAGAGGGTTTTACTGCGCTCGCAACTGCATAAGGTCATATGAGCGCCAGAAGATTAGAGGTGTTACAAGAGAGTAACAAACATAAAAAAGAAGAAGGGGAGATAAGGATGATAGATGTTTGATAGGAAAGAAGAAGCGCACCACATCAAAGTACCCGCCAACCACCCACAGATCATTTTTGTGTTTAGCTTATTTCTACATCAGTACATTACGTTAAGAGCTGGGTTGAGAGAGCAATACCAGAGGACGATGCTTAAACCTATCCGTATGCCCTGGGGCCATTTTGTACCCCCTGGGTTGTATCCTTCACATTTTAAAACACTTCTAATACGAAGTTCTCTTTGAAGCTTTCAGTATTTCTCAAAAAATCATTTTGACAGACTGCTATACAAAGGTAAGGATGGGATTAACAAGTAAATTTCCTCTTTGGAAAGTGTTGGCACAGTGTTCCCCACGTCATATGGATACGATAGTGAAACACGACGTACGGATCAGGTCAAGAAAACCACCATGGAAGTTTTGCCGACTGATGCTCGAGTGGAAAGAGGGAAGCTAAGGTATAATATGGGTACACTTTGGTTGAGGGCATTGAAAGCTCAAATACTGGAGAAGGTAATATTTCCATCATTGATTGTTTTTCAACATGAATATATGAAAAATTTTACACAATACACTACATGCGATTAAACGTAGAAGGACGCAAACTACTTTTAGGTAAGGCGGCCATTTTGTGTGACATCAGACCGAAACACCCCTCCGATCATGTGACTATATGTAAATATAGCCAACGGGATGGCACGCCACTTTGGTGCGATGTTTTTCCAGGAATACCGGTAATGTGATATGATGCGGTGCTCCGATGATGAATAGTCTCTTTTATACGGTAGATCTAGAGGAAACGTTCAAAGAATGAATTCAAAAGACGCAGTGAACCGGAAAATTAGGAAGCTCAAACCCGTCAATGTCTCAATGAAGGAAATTGTTGACATTCGTACGGTGTCAATACTGGAATTCCGAAATGTTATTAACATACCGGAAACACATCATTCATGCGGTACCTCCACGGCCTTCTTAAAATAGTCTGTGGGTATCCCTGATGACATCACATTACTAAAATTAGCAGCCAATCAGAAAGATGCGTCTTCTACGTTTAACGGCATGTCAATACACTAGCTTATCATTCTGGGGACTCCAGAATATTAGCAAATCAAGATAGAGGTTTGGTGAAGCAGAGTGCTGGGGTGGAAGGGTGTAAAGACGGACATGTTACTAGACAGTAGAAAGGTGTCCATAAATATCTTGCAGAAATAGGATAAACACGATCACGTCTGTGCCTAAAAAAAGGGGAAGACTATTATTTGAAAAATTAAGGAAATTCCATTGTTTTCTCCCGCCTCTTTTTCTTTTGTTTCAGAAAGAATTTTATGGCACTTGCACCACAATAAGGTCATATCAATGCCGAAGATTAGAAGTATTGCAAGAGAGTAACAAATTCAAAAAAGAAAGAATGAGAACAATAGATATTTGATAGGAAAGAGGGAGCAGAGCCCCAACCACCTATCTTCCACCTCCAAGATGATACTTGAAACCAAGGTTTCACTAACAACACAAAAGCCTCACATTTAAAAAACCTGTCTAAAAAACTTTCATGTCATTACACAGAAAAAGATTACACAAAACCAATAATTTGAACATTAAAGTTTGTAAGTTCCAGGGTAACAGAATTACACCCCAAAAAAAATAACGCTGGACTTGGAAAAAATGCAACAAAATGTAGAGGAACGAGATAAAAAGTCAAGTCCAGTTAATGAAAGATGGATAATGTCATGATTTTTTCAAAACCCAGCCCGTTATGAAGAATGTGTTTGTCTTTTCTGATAGCTCAAAAACAACAGAAAGTAAGAGAAAGAAGGAAATGAAAACCACAACTTCATCAGAACTTAGCAAGACATTAGCCGAAGCAAATACTCAGGAAACATTTCATTTTTTCCCCTTCCAGAACCAGATATTTACCAAATACTTCCATTAACCAGGCCGATATTGACTGGACTCTACAGCACATTCATTCAAGCAACAGCAAACTAAAGAGAAACCAAAGGCAACAGCCCCATATTATACAAATCACTCACTAGCATTTTCACTAAAGAAATAAGATGGCTGACTGAACGTGTTGCAATAATTATACAGTCTGAGCGACCCTTTTGTCAACAACCACACAGAACTTACAGACAAGACGCACACTTTGAGTGTGGGGGAACTAAAATGACAAGCAAAACCTGAAACACACCACTTATCCTCAAGACATTATTTCCACATAATGATAAAAGAAATTACTTAATTAAACTTTGTGAAGTTTCTGCCCAGTACACAAAGCAGATCGTTGCCTGTCTCCCTCCACTAACAATCATTGTCACATACTATAAACGTTCAGATTTCCTGAAAACTGTTATATTATGTCCGTCTTTCATGTACTTATGCTTAAGGCAATGTGCACAACACACAGAATTATGGAAACAGCAACGGCAAAGGACGGAAGGAAGAAACAGGGAGGTTTCGACAAACGATACGTTAGAAGGTACAGACAGCTAGACAGACAGAGAGGCAGAGAAAGACATAAAATATCGGTAAAAGAAGGGGTGGAGGGGGGAGGTGTTGTTTTAGTTTAGTTTTAGTAAGAGTTTTACGGCACTTGCAACACAAAAAGGTCGTATAAGTGCCGAAGAATAGAATACGTGTTACAAGAGAGTAACATACACAAAAAAGAAGGAGGGGAGATAAGGACGAAAGATGTTTGATAGGAAAGAAGGAGCAAACCACACCAGAGCACCCGCCAATCACCCACACAAGACAGAACAAAGATTACAAAACACTGTAACCCCTCATAGTCGTCCCCTTGGGATATGGTAAAAATTTGTTTGCAGGAATGAAAACAAAACAGAACAAACCCGACAAGCCCAACAACACATAGATATTATATATATATATATTCATTGTAACTGAGGTAGGCAATTAAATGTTTATATGCTGTATATTTTTATGCCAGACCTCAACGCCTGTTTTTAGTACCTGGAAGGGGGGGGGTGTTTTGGCTTCTACACAGTGCAAAAACCTGCACCTGGACCCACGGTAGGAATGTCACCACTAACAAGGAGCTCTTCTCTAGAGATGGGGAAACACGCGGCAATTCCAAGTAATATAATTATTGGAGACAAAATTGCAAAAACTAAATTCTAATATGCTTAAAGTTCTCTTGAGACTGGAATTCAATAATTTCACAAAAGATGTTCTTCACTGATATCTAGAAACACAGTAAATCATAAAGTAAAGAAAAAGCCAGAGTATTGACTGTTCATATAACACCCAAAAAACTCTGAACTGTAGACGAAGAAGCGCCAATATCATACCTTTAAAATTTGCTAAATCAACTTTAACGTAATCCACTTTCTCCAACTAATGGCAGCATTCTCTGACCTCTTATCCATAAATCAAATATCAGAAAACAAGGTTAGATCCTTCTTGAAGGCAAGGGAAGAATACTTTAAAATGGACAGTAAGAAATAACAGCCCTTTACATAACAACCGCAGAATTTACTGAATAACTAGGACGCCAAACAAATTTTTTTGTTTTTGTTTGCCTCTTTAAAAATTGAAACTTAATCTGTATATTATACCTGAGATTTTGATGCTATGCTGAACACAGAATAAAGTCTGCCAATCAAAAGCTTCATATATGCTTTTGAGCGTCTCACAGTTCTCCGTGGAATTGCCCATCGTTCTAGCTCTACAGAGGTAAAAAGAAGCCCTAGTCGCAGAACTTGTGGCACATAATGTGGACACCAGATAGATTAACATCCTTCTCCCCCAACATCAATTATATAGAATAAGAATGCTGTTCAAAATTACTCGAAATCTGCATTCCCCTCTCACACAGAAAAACTGGCACACTTCACAAGCACACTAGGAAATCTGGACAGCTAAATGGAATGAACATTCATTAAAACACTTGAGTTTCAAAGTCTCACAGCGCACACAATACATTGGACATTGGAAAATCTACATTCTTCTTAAGAGAAATTATCATTCCTATTGAGTTAAAATATTGAAGAATTTTTGTGTTTCCGATAAATATAAAATGAATACATGTATTATTGCACCTATGCGTAATAAAATCTTTGACAGGCACTATGTTTGCAAGAGAAGAAAGTGGACTTTTAAATCAAAACTACCTTCTGACATTCATAATTACATCCACACATGTAAAATCTTCAATAAAAAAAAATTTGTATATATTTTTAAGTTTAAAAAAAAAGTAAATAATCTTCCATTCGATTCTTTTTTATGGTAGAGTCTCATAGAAAATGTCTTGCTCATAAAATTGCTGAAATTTCAACGGACAACAAAAAGCACATACAGCCTGGTCCTCAGCGAGCGATGCTGCTATCCCATACCACATAGACTGAACTGCATAAGGTGGATGGCTCAAATTCATTCACTTTCTCTAAGCAATAACCAAACAAATCAATAAAAATCAACATAGCCAACAATTTAAAAAAAGGAACCCGAAAAACAAACTGACTTATCATTTCAGTTCTAAACACAACAGCAAGTTTATCAAATCAAAACGATTTTGAAAAGGAAGTATTCTCTGTCCGAGCTGCTAACATCACTTTCATTCAGCATCATGAGGCATCTGCACAACAAATTATAGATCATCAATGGTTCCACAATACTGGTGACAGTTCACACCATGCCTTTGGTCACTTGGAAAAACACAAGAAGCTAGTATCCTAGCATCCTATCCTTCAAGTCCTAGCCCTACACAATCAGGTACATCTTTTATGATCTGTTAACTCTCAAAATGACTGCCTGAAGCATTATGCGCTCCTGTTCGCTTCGAAATGTTTATTTTGATTTTACACTCGCCCTTCAGCGTTAGCATAGAAAGTCAGGATTCAACCACAAGTTGATTAAAGGAATAACAGTCACACTGAGTTTGCTTCTTAACAACACCCTCCTTCACTAATAACAACTAGTACGCACATTTTTTAACATAAATATAAACAATAGTACTATAGCAGAAGCAAGGACAAAGTTTATAAAGCACATAAACAATTTGCACTTCCCTGATGAGGAAAGTGTGACAAAATTCCTCTTCATATCAATAGGGGAGGACAATCAAGCTGCATTAGTTTGTAATATTTCCTGTATTGCTTCAACGTGTATGATAAAATACTGTATGGCACACATTTGAACGAATAACAAAAGAGAAAAATGGAACAAATAGAAAACAAAACAACAACAACAAAAAAACTCACCCGAAAACAAAACAAAAAACTGATAAGCTGTAAACTCTTACCATTATCTACCTCTTTATATCTATATTATTTTGGACACTGGTCAGCTGAACACCATGTCAAAAAAAAAAAAAAGAAAAAAAAATCCTATATAAACAGAAAAGCATGAATGAATACTTGGATATTAAACTCATAAGACACAGGAATTCTCAAACATACTCCCCAGGATCCTCATTCACTTTTTTCACGCTCAAAGCTGGAAGAGGTTTAGAATTACCAGCCTCTCATACATGATTTTGATTTCCATTAGCTTGTAGCTTTCTGTTATGCCGTAGTTAAGAACATAAACTGTCATAAACCCAGCTTTAGAAGGAAAAAAAGAAGAAGTATCGACAAAAAAGAATACTTTCACTGCAAATTTTTTTTTAAACCTGAGGCCCTAATGCCTAATAAATGATTTCTTTAAGTCTGAAGTTACTTTCAACCATTAATACTGGAAAAGCAAATAAATATTCCCTAAAACTATCCTTCACTTCCCCTGCTCTCAATAAATATATTTCTTATTTTAAAACAAAAACAAAACATCAATATAGAACAGAAAAACCTCAACAAATAACAAAAGTCTGTACTTAAAGAGCTAGCTTATTTAAACAACAAATAGTTGCCTCAACAAATGTATTCTTCTTCTTCAACAAAAATCACAATGCATTATCATAAACACAGTAACAAATAAAAATAAAAAGGAAAACAAAACAATTGTAAAAAGTAACTCAAAGAGACTCTGCGATTATTTCCTAATTTAGATAGGTCTATCTTCATATCACGTTCACTGAGGTTTTCGCCAATTGTTGTTTCATATCACAATGGTCAATTACATTTCTATGAGGTGAAACTTTATAGTAATACAGAGCAGCTATCTTACCTTCATAAATCACCAAAAAATATTTTTCAAATTTGCTTCCAAGATAAAATATCTGCTTTAAAAATACATATCCAGTCATTTCCTCCACTTTCACACACTCATAAAAACAAAAGCCACAAATAAAAAAACCCAGGTAAAAGCAGAAAAGTGACACGGGGGAACACCTGTGTTATAAACCGAATCGTTCATGAATCAAAAACATGAGCTTCTTTTTCCCCTTGTACACCAGCTTCATGTTCTCAATAAGTTGCGCAAACTGAATGTGGCCGTCGTGAGCCAGCAGGAAAGTCTCTCGGGCTTTGGTCAGGAACTCAATAAAGTCGGCGTAGTGTCGTGGGCTTATGTGTGACAGCTTCGAGTGCGTAGTGTGCACGTATGCCAGGATTGTCTGGTCCATAAGCTGCTTGAGAGGAGCTTTATCGTAACTGAGGAGTTTTAACGTACGCCGCTTACTACCGTCCACACAGCCCAAGCCGGGGGCCGTGATGGTGCATCGGCGCAAAACATCGGCTAACACGGGCGCACACTGTACGTTCTTCACCAAGATGGCCACCATGCTGGTCAGGTCGTGGCGGCTCAGCGAGTGGGCCAGCGCGCACGCCCAGTGGATGTCGGAGACGGCCGGGTGGGTGTCCTGATTATAAGCCACGTGCAAGCCTTTCATGGCCAGAAGCGCTAGACGGAACGCCTGAGAGGGGTGGCCATGTTGCTCCATGTAACGTGCAATGTTAAACAGTTGGCTAGAATTGATTATGTGCGGCGCAGCACCCACCACAATCTCGTAGGCCATCTCAAAGGCCATGCGGTCCTTCTCACAGAGATTGAGGGCGTACAGAGCACAGTTCTGAGGGTCACGCTTGGCGCACTGTAAGGCCAGTGTGCGGGCGCAGGCAGCCAGCTCCTCCTGTTGCTGGAAGGTGGCGCTGAGCTGCATCATTGTGGCAGGGGACATCACCGTCATAGCCACTGTACCTGCAAAACAATTAGGGGATGTTAATCATCATCGATAAAAGTCTGTGTGCGACTCATTGCCAACGCACTGCAGAAGAAAACTGATGTAAATTATCATCAATAAAAGCCTGTAAGTGACTCATTGACATTGCACCTGCAAAAGAAATCTGCAGCTAATCATCATCAATGAAAGCCTATATGCGACTCATTGCCAATGCACCTGCAAGAGGAAAACTGACATAAATCATCATCAGTAAAAACCTGTGAGGGTTTTTTTTCGTAAGAGTTTTACCACACTTGCAACACAATAAGATCATATAAGTGCCGAAGTTTGGAGGAGTTGCAAGGGAGTAACAAACACAAAAAAGAAGGAGAGGAGATAAGGACGACAGACATTTGATAGAAAAGGCGCAAACCACACCAGAGCACCCTCCAACCACCCACCAAACCTGTGTGTGAGTCGTCATTACCACTGTGTTTATAAGATGACAAAGGGATATAATTCAACGTCAGTAAAAACCTGTGTTTGAGCCACTACCATTGTGTTTACGAGACGAAAAAGGGATATAATTCCTTGTCAGTAAAAGCCTGTGCGTGTCTCTTAGCCAGCGTGTTTACAAAAGAAAGAGGATGTAAATCATCATCAGATTTTTAAAAACCTGTGAGCGAGTCATCACGACTGCGCTTACAAGACCACAAAAATGAGAACTGGTGGAAAATCGCCCAAGCTGAGATCATAATACCTCCACAAAATTGCACCAGCGGAATACCCAGACCCGTCCTGTCAAGCCTGCAAGGAGGAGGATGAAACTATGGACCACGTGTTCCTGAGATGTCCCGCCAACTATCGTGCCAGAACCCGTCTGCTGGGACATTTTAGTGACCCACTTTCAGCACTGTTCAAGGACCCCTGAGCAAGCGTGGAGTTCCTGCATGCGCATCGTTGACAGTTTATGGAGAGAGGGAGGGAGGGAGAGAGGGAGAGAGGGAGGGAGGGATGGATGGATGGACGGATGGAGGGAGAGAGAGAGAGAGAGAGAGAGAGAGAGAGAGAGAGAGAGAGAGAGAGAGAGAGAGAGAGAGAGAGGGGGGGATCAAAAAGGGAAATAATTCACCATCAGTAAGAGCCTGTATTATGTTATTATCACTGTGCTCACAAGATAACAAAGGGAAGTAATTTACCATCAGTAAAAGCCTAGGTCACTCCAAGATACCTCTCAAATCCTCCACACCAGGAGGGTTTATAATGGCCTTCACAAGACTGCACAACTTGTTTCTTATCCCAACACAACTGGTACACTTGAGAGAAAACAGACTTCTGAAGCCCTCTCTAAGATGTCTAAGAATTTTTTTTTCCATTTTCAAGTTGGGAGGAAAAAAAGGAACTTATTTTTTTCAAAATTGACTGAGAGTAGATTATTCAGCTTCTTCTTTTTTCATTTTGTTTTGCATTCCTGTAAAGCCCTCCTAGGTCATTTAACACTTTGCCATCATATTTTGAGGAAAATCCAAAGAAACTGGGCGGTTTACATCGGCAATCGGCGAGATGAGGCGACAAAATGTTAAAGGGCCTGCTTTCCACTGTGGGTTTACTTACTTGAGGCCTCCAAAGGAGCAAAATACTGGTACCAAGATTGCATGATGGAAAGCAAGGCCTCCACTCCGACTTCTGTAGCGCAGGTGACGATCCACCGCACCATTTCACGCCGACGCCAGTTGAGGCTCATGAGCGTCATCCTCATAACCTGGAGCGAACAAGAACAGACAGGAAAACATTGAAAAACAGGAGCATTGTAACATTTTCATTTCTCCACTTCATAGTTTTAGTTTAGTATGGGGTTTTACGGCGCTCGCAACTGCATAAGGTCATATGAGCGTGCGAAACACAAGTTAGTTCTATTCGCAACAGTTCACTGTACGGCTGGGCTCTGGTCAGTAGTTAGATCTTAAAAGCCCCCCACTTCATAAGTTCTATGTTTGTTCCCTTATTTCAATCACCAGAACCTTTCACACAGAAGCAGTTAAACAACGCCTTAATTGAGCACATATATGCCCAAGTTTCAATCACCATGTATAATTCTTCAAGCCTCATTCCCCTTTATTCTAGAGGCCCATGTACCAGGGCACAAGCGAATAGTTAAGGAACGTTAGGAGTACGCCATTGGCCGATATTTATAGTAAGTCATCTTGTTTGTGTCATAAAATAGTGATCTTCATTCAGACAAAAGACAAAAGAAGTTCCAGACCTACTGTCTCACTGTCTGATCTGAAAAGAAAAAAGTGGAGTAAAAAAGCAAGACCTTTTTTTCATTATAGCAAAGTGTTATGATAAGGCTCACAATATTATGTATGTCAACCCTATTTATAAGTCGTGTTTTACTATCGTATCCATACAACGTGGGGAACTCTGTGCTACCACTTCCAAAGAGGAAATTTAATCGATAATCTCATCCGTACACTTTGCAAAGCAGTCTGTCAAAATGACTTTTTGAGAAGTACTGAAAGTTTCAAAGAGATCTTTGAATTAGAAGTATTCTAACATGTCAAGAATACAACTCCAGGGGTACAAAATGACCCCAGGGTGTACAGATATGGTTAAAGAATAGGTCAAACAAGACGGCTGTTACTATCAATATCTCCTAACGTTCTCTAACTATCCGCTTGTGTACCAGGACCCACTAAAAATCACCTGCTAGATTTCTATCATCACAAGCACAGGCATGCCTTCAGTGTGCAGAAGAGAATAAAGATAAGAAAAGATAAGATAAGATAAGATAAGTACTTTATTATCCCAGAGGGAAATTTTTTTTGGCCGTACAGGACCGTAAAAACACATGCAGGTATACATTAAAAATTGTAATTATATATTACTCTCATTAAAATTCAATATGAAAGGAAGGGTGCCTCAGGTTCAGGAGTATGCTTAAGCCACAGGGTTGGGTCTACTTTACACAAACTTTTAACTCTTTCACTACCAGGGGGTTTTCCTCACCTGGACCAGAGCCTATCAGTGACCTATTTTCTGAAACTGATTCTGCCTACGATCAGACAAACTAAAGATTTTGAGATCAATATTCAATATTTGCCACATGCATTGTATATGAAAATAAAGGGAATATTATGACGTATCTCAGCATTTTGCTAAAAATGGTCATTCTTCAGCCTGGGACTACAGTTTTGACTATTGGTGTGGTATTGAAGCAGGAAAAGACGAAACACAGCTCGCGGTCCAGCGTTGGGAGTAACAAGAGTCGTGTTTGAGCCGTGAAACACGGTTCGTGGCAGTGAAAGAGTTAAAGTAGCATGGCTATGACAGGACTTGCAACGATACATAGTTTTCACATCATCAATTAAGCTTAAAGGTGTTTGGTACAAGGTCAAGTATTTCTGACTAATAGTTGTTGCTCATGTGGCCCAATAATGATTAGTTTTAATCCAACCTTAGAAGAAAATGAAACAGCCCATATGATCAACAACAAATGAGCAGCCTACCATTTGGTCGCTTTTAAGGACAAGCAGGCTAACCCAGATTTCGGGAGTTTCCAGAATCTTGACCTACACCAAAAGTGGGTAGTGCCCTATCTATAGGAGAAGTTTGGTTTCATTTATGTATATTTGTTTGGTTTTAGAGAAAAAAAACTCTGCTTGTATTTTAAAGAAACAGAACGAGGAGCAAAAACTTTACCTTCGATTTTCTCAAAACAGCATTTTTCAGGATAGTCCCCTTGTGCTTAAAAACAACCATTTTGACTTATGAAGGAATACAAAATTTTACTAAATAAAATATTACCTGAAGACCAAGCTCAAAGGCAGCTTTCAGAGCAGGAATGTACTTGGGCCCATCAGGAGGTGTGGCGATTTTGAAAGTATCCTGGGCAAGACGGAATAACTGGGAAGAACTATGGACGTGTCTCTGTGCGCAGTCCAACACAGATTGTAAACGGTGAACGTCATCTGAGGGGGGCAAACACGTTTTGCTTAGTTTTAATAAGAGTTTTACGGCACTTGTAACACGATAAGGTCACATAAGTGCCGAAGAACTGATGTTTTACAAGAGAGTAACATACGCAAAAAATAAGGAGGGGAGATAAAGATGATAGATGTTTTAGTTTTAGTAAGTGTTTTACAGCACTTGCAACACAATAAGGTCGTATAAGTGCCAAAGATTAGAGGTGTTACAAGAGAGTAACAAACATAAAAAAGAAGAAGGGGAGATAAGGACAATAGGTGTTTAATATGAAAGAAGAAGCAAACCACACCAGAGCACCCGCCAACCACCCACCAACATCTCTATTTCCCTGACAACAATAAGAGAAGGGTTCTGAAAAAGATACGATATACCACTCACTTTTGGCAGACTCCAGCAGAGTGGAGGCGAGAAGACACTGCTGAGATTCAACGTGAGACAGGACGAACCAGCGAGGGAAGCGCGCTAACATGTTGGCGTTGTTCATGCTGTCCTCCATGTTGGTCTCATCCAGGTTCTCTAGAATTGGAAGCCTGAGGACCAAGAGAACCAACATGCCATGAGTTAAGCAAGTAGGGTTTTTTGGTTTTAGTAAGAGTTTTATGGCACTTCATTGCTGCAATTGCAACACAATAAAGTCATTAAAGAGCCATGGATTAGAGTTGTTACAAAAGAGTAAGAGTGTTGTGGCACTCGCAACACAATAGAGTCATAAAAGAGCTGAGGATAAGAATTGTTGCAAAAGAGTAACAAACACGAAAAAGGAGGAGAGATAAGGATGATAGACATTGACAGGAAAGAAGGCACAAACATCACCTGCCAACCACCAACATAAGTAAGTTTATGGTAAGAGATCATGACATAAGAAGAGTTGAGGCTTTCATTAAGTTGTTGCAGTTGCTAGGTTGTAGTTCGAGAGACATGACAATAGCAGAAATAGAACACAAAGTGACAAAAAATTATGGTTTGAAGGTGCTGATAAAGAAGAGGTTTTGCTACAATAAATAATTGGAGAATGGGAATTTGTTTGAGTAAAAAGAAGCACATCAACACAAAAATTGTCATTTAGTGCTGGGAACAGTTTTAGTAGACGTTTTATGGCGCTCGCAACTGCATTCGGTCATCATATGAGCGCCAGAAGATTAGAGGTGTTACAAGAGAGTAACAAACATAAAAAAGAAGGAGGGGAGATAAGGACGATAGATGTTTGATAGGACAAAAGAAGCAGACCACACCAGAGCACCCGCTAACCACCCACAAAAGGAAATACAGAAACCACAGAGGGAAAGTGAAGAGGTAAGACCTACCAGTTGCGTCCTTTAACTGCCTATTGGAGAATGGGAAAGAAATGTCAGCAAAAATCAACTATTAAACAGAATAAATAATCAGTGGAGAAATCTGGCACAGCAGTAGGACAAAGTGCTCACCTCATGGCACGCAGGCCCACTTTGTACGCAAGGTCAGGGTCACGGGGTACCAGCTTGAGGAACAGGAAGTGTGCAAACATGTGCATCGGATACGTCTCTGGGTGAATGCCGATACCCAGACCACTCCATGACCCACCTGAAGAAAGCAAACTTTTAGTTTTAGTAAGAGTTCTATGGCACTTGCAACACAATTGCGTCATATTATAAGTGCTAAAGATTAGAGGTGTTACAAGAGAGTAACAAAACAAACACAAAAAAGGAGGAGGAAATAATATAAGGACAATAGATGTCTGATACAAAAGAAGTAGCAAACCACACCAGAGCACCCAGTAGCAACCCAAAATGATGCAACACTTTCATATGATATTTGAACATCTGACAACCACCAACAACCACCAGGGCAGGGTACAGTAACATACACACAAAAAAGAACAGCAGACAGATAAGGCTTGGGAACTGTTTTTTTGTTGTTTTTTACTTTTGTGCTCTTGTGTGGACATGGAGCAAGTGTGAGCAGATATCAGCAACTTAACATGTGCCAAAAACTGACAAGCCCCCCACAAAACTTTGGCGGCCATTTTCTCACTAATTTTAGCTAAGAAACCAGGCAACCCCACCTTCTTAAATCGCAAATATCTCGACTTCTACTCGAGTGGATATTTTTTTCATAAAAAGCAAAACAGACCCAGCCAAAATGCCCTCTAAGATGATAGCAATAACTGAACATGTGCCAAAAACTGACGAACTCCCCCCCCCCAAGATTCCACCACGTCATGACACAAAAGAAAAGATTGACGGAGAGTCCTCACCCTCTAGCAGCAGTGTGGTCTCTGTCTGTAACACCTCAAACAAGGTGGAGTCGAGCTCGATTGTGTTCAACTTTGCCAGCAGTCGCTCCTCCTGCTTGCAAGCTTTCTCCTGAGAATGGATTCCTGAAGGCATGATCCTTTGTTGGCCCAGGCCTGTGGAGAAGATGTTTAGTTTTAGTAGAGGTTTTACGGCACTCGCAACTGCATAAGGTCATATGAGCGCCAGAATATTAGAGGTGTTACGAGAGAGTAACAAACATAAAAAAGAAGAAGGGGAGATAAGGACGATAGATGTTTGATAGGAAAGAAGAAGCAAACCACACCAGAGCACCCGCCAACCGGAGAAGATGAACGCATAGGATTACAATCTATCAATACTGAATGCACAGGATTACAATCTATCAATACTGAACGCACAGGATTACAATCTATCAACTATAATACTGAACGCACAGGATTACAATCTATCAACTATAATACTGAATGCACAGGACTACAATCTATCAATACTGAAGGCACAGGATTACAATCTATCAATAATGAACGCACAGGATTACAATGTATCAACTATAAAACTAAACGCACAGGATTACAATCTATCAAAACTGAAAGCACAGGATTACAATCTATCAAAACTGAACGCACAGGATTACAATCTATCAATACTGAACGCAGAGGATTACAATCTATCAATACTGAAAGCACATGCTAACCCTGCAGGCGACAACAAAGAATTTAACCATCCCACCACAGATATCGGTAATACTTCATGAGCACTGAGCCAAGGAACGAGTATCTCACCTATTAAGGCCACATCATAAGCCAGAGTGAGGTAGGTTTGATTATGCTCTGCAGCACCCGGAATGTTCACATGCTGATAACGACGGCGGCTTTCATTGCTGGAGTCATTACTCAAATGGCGGCTGTAAAATTCTGAAAAATGAAAATGAAAAAGAGTCCAGATGCACTTTTCAAATCAATGAACACGAATCCATAAACCCTGAGCAGAAGATGTATACTTACCCAACTGATGTCAAGAGAAACAAAAAAGTATCACACTAAATTTCACAAACAAGAAACAATGAATTAAGAGGTGAGGATTAGTTTGTAGTGGTAGCAAAGGGCATATATATCTTGAATGGACATTACAAAACACAAACTTAGTCACAACTCCCAGAACATGCTTCAAAACATTAAAATACAAGCAAAGGACAAGATTGGAAACGAATTGAAAGGATAATTACAATAATTTTTTTTTTCAGATTCAAAACAGCTTGAAAACCGTTTTACCGTCGGCTACTACACAAGCTTCACAGAGAGTGTCGAACAAAAATCTCATTTTCACACCACTGCCACTGCTTCTCTTATACTTCAGAAAGGAGGCCATTAGTTAAGTAATCAGTGAGCACAGGTCCACAAAGAATGCTAAAGAAAGGTAGATAGAGAAGCTTTTAGGTTGGTGACAATTTCAGTAAATTGTTTGGAAAAACACAGGCCCTGGAACAAGACAGCCTCAGATACCAAGCTAAATGTTTTGAAACTTATAATACGCCACAATGTATAAGGCATATCATAGCAAAATATCTGCTCATGGGATCAATCAAGCCCATCTCTTTTTTTTGTTGTTGTTGCAAAATTAAATGCTAGGGCTACATCATCAATGTTAATTCATCTTCTTCTAAATCGCATGACACCTGATGTCTGATATCTATCATACACTGACCCTCCTCTTTAGTTTTAGTTTTAGTAAGTGTTTTACGGCACTTGTAACACAATAAGGTCATATAAGCGCCGAAGATTAGAGGTGTTACAAGAAAGTAACAAACACAAAAGAGAAGGAGGGGAGATATAGACGATAGACGTTTGATAGGAAAGAAGAAGCAAACCACACCAGAGCACCCGCCAACCACCAACCCTGCTCAGTTCTTTTGTTGGCACTACAACTTTCCTTGTAGTGCTGTTGGGGCTGGCCAAGTTTCCGGTCAGTGGGCTCTGTGTGTCCTATCAATGTTAATATAATTTTTGTTCTCTAAATTTATGAAGACAGCGAAGACGGTGGATTAACAAGAGAAAGAAAGGCCAACGAGCCATTCTCCACGAAGTAGGAAACTCACCTTGTGAATTGTCGTCGGCTACTACACAAGCTTCACAGAGAGTGTCGAACAAGACTCCGATTGGATCCAGAGGATGTCCGATCCAGCCAACGGGGTTGTAGGGAGTGTGTCTGCGACCACACGTGTGAACGGCACACGAACAGGAACTGCCAACGATTTCTGAAGATGAAACAATTATGGATTCACGTTTCAGGTTCGGTTAGAGTTTGTTTTTGACGGCTCTTGCAACACAATAAGTATCAAAGAATAGATGTGCTACAAGAGAGTAACAAACACCAAACAGAAAGAGGGGAGATAAGGACGAAAGATGTTTGATGAGAAAGAAGGAGCAAACCACACCAGAGCACCAGCAAACCACCCACATTAAAGTTTACGGCTTGCAACTGCATAACGTCATAAGAGCGCATGGGACCCAAGTTGGTTGTTTTCAAGTTAGTTCATAGCATATCTTAATTTAATTACCCAAGTCAACGGTTGAAATATCTAAACATATAAGAAAAAATTCTCATTTTTTAAATGACAGTAATTTACATTTTTAAAACAATAACTATTTTGATTCTCCCATAAAGACTAATGACCTTTATAAAGTCGAGAACCCTGCCAGGATCAATGGTGGAGAAGAATCATGAATATAAAACAAAAATTTATTTAACTGAAAACTTCCCAACTCAGATCCTCAAAAATATAGTTTATCACATACGTTTTTAAGTAATGTTTTTTGTTTGTTTCAGTAGAGGTTTTACGGCGCTCGCAACTGCATAAGGTCATATGAGCGCCAGAAGATTAGAGATGTTAAAAGAGAGTAACAAACATAAAAAAGAAGCTGAGATAAGGACGATAGATGTTTGATAGAAAAGAATGAGCAAACCATACCAGAGCACCCGCCAACCACGCAGTAAGTACTGTTTGACAGCCATAACTTGTGTTGCGATACAATGGCACAGAGTACAGAACATGACATCAGGTGGTAATGTTTTAGTAAGAGTTTTACGGCACTTGCAACACAATAAGGTCATATAAGATGCGCTGAAGATTAGAGGTGTAACAAGAGAGTAACAAACACAAAAAAGGAGGAGGAGAGAACAAGGATCATAGGTGTTTGATAGGAAAGAAGGAACCGACCACACCAGAAAACCCGCCAACCACCCACTCAGGTGGTTAACAGGAAACCCACACATGCTGACAGACTCTGGAATACACTTACTGGAACCTTCTTCTGAGGCCGAATGCTCCTGATTGGCCACTACCGCCGCCTTCATGGTGCGCACAATGGCCACCGTCAGCCTCAGGGCCTCCTTGGTGAAGCCGTGAGAGCGGAGGGCGTCTACACGAGAGCAGGCAGTCGGGATGTACTCTTGAAAGGAGAAAAAAATAGTTTTAGTAAGAGTTTTACTGCACTTGCAACACAAATAAGGTCATATAAGTGCCAGAAGATTAGAGGTGTTACAAGCAAGTAACAAACACAAAAATGAAGGAGGTGGGATCAGGACGATAGATGTTCGAGAGGAAAGAAGGAGCAAACCACACCAGGGCTTCCGCCAACCACCCACGAGAAAAAAATAAAACAATAACGCTTCAAATGTTGACTAATAGTTTGGTACCACTTTCAAGTGAAGGCTTATATGATTTCACAATGACTCCCTTAGCTGAAATCCTAATCTCCAGTATATCATTCCAGCACTCACTCACGAGACAGAAAACAGAAAACATTCTTTAAAAAATGTTTAATTTGTTTGAAGCCCCTTTTCAGCAGTGTTCAGTCACACACACACAACACACACACAACACACACACAACCACACCCACACACACATACACAACCCCCCCACACACACAACCCCCACACACACACTCACCCACCCACACTCACACATGCGCATGCGCACACACACACACACACCTTTCCACAGCGGCAACCCATGACTGTCAAAGTTATCGCTGGCGGTTCGACTGGCACTCCAGTACATATCTGAGGCGAGGATCTTCTGGAGGTGGCCGTCTGTCCACACCAGGTCGCTGGCCTCTAAGGCGTTGTGCAGCACGGTTCTTTGGTTAGAGCGAGTGGAAGAGCTTGATGAGCCTGCATAAAAAAAGATAACTGTCACCTTCTAAATTTGTATTCAGCTTTAACAAGTTGCCATCACATTTTGGGGAAAATCCAAAGAAACTGGGTGGTAAACATCGCCAATCGGCGACATGAGGCGGCAAAGTGTCAAAGAAAGAAAGGCATATCACCATGCTAACTGTCATTTAGTGCTAGAAAAAGCAAGACAGACAGAAATTGTTTGTTTGTTTATTTGTTTCTTTGAATACAGAGAAGTACATTAACAGTCCTTTAGTAGCAAAGTAAAGTAAAATATCAAATATCCCAAGCGTTGACAGCCACACACAAAAAACCAGCCAACGTCAAACGCAGCACCTACCTCTACTAAGCCTGAGGTTGTTCCCGCCGCCGATACCTGCCAGGAGATTGGCCTCTCCGTCCTCCAGGGGGCACACGGGACAGATGACCCACTGTCGCAGCAGGCCCTGCCACTGAACCCGCTCGGCGCTGGAGCAGTGGGGGTTCAGCACCACGCACACCCACAGAGCACCTGCAACAACAAAAAGAAACAACAATAATAATAATAAATTAAAAAATAAATAGCATTAGTATAGCGCATATCCCCACTCGAAAGCAAGCTCTATGTGCTTTACACTATATCAATAGAAGAAAATGAATTGAATGTTTTAGTTTTACAGCACTTGCAACACAATAAGGTCATATAAGTGCCGAAGATTACAGGTGTTACAAAAGAGTAACAAACACAAACAAAGGAGGAGGAAAGATGAGGATGATAGATGTTTGATAGGAAAGAAGCAGCAAACCACACCAGACCACCTGCCAACCAGCCACGAATTGAATGTGACGGCCCTTTTTTGTTTGAGTAGGTGTTTTACAGCAATATCTACTCAGTTTTGGTTATGATGGCCTTTTGCGTCTTTACGAACTTAAAGCAGTGTGTATGACACAGTTTTGCCAGGGCGAGGAAGTAAATTGCCGAAGTACAACTTCCGAATATGGAAAACAGCATATAGCATAAGTTTAATGCCGGCTTCAACCCCGTAAAGCAATTCTTTCAAATTTTACATCCTTCTCCGATAGGACAAAGCCTAATGGGGTGGAGAGCCATGAAAATTCCTGTAACAACTGTTTTAGTAAAGTAAGAGTTTAACGGCACTTGCAACACAATAAGGTCATATAAGTGCAGAAGAATAGATGTGTTACAAGAGAGTAATACACGCAAAAAAAATAGGACAGATCAGGACGATAGACGCCTGATAGGAAGGAAGGAGCAAACCACACCAGAGCACCTACCAACCGCCCACCGTAACAACTGGAGTTCAAGAACACTCCGTCAGGGATTTTAAAACCTGACTCATCTGCATTGCAGCTCAGCATGATACCACCTGATGTGCAGTGTGCCTGTGGCAGCCATCAATCATGGATGCCAACAGTAAGGCATATGTGAGGCGTGCTGACAAAATTACTTACTTCTTGCAATCCACAAATTATGGAAATATAGGCCAAAAATCGACACTTGGGTCAAATTTGAGGATTTTCTATTGATGTCACATTCTTTAAGTATAACATGCCTTTTATTATTTCGTACCTATAAATTGTAAAAACTTCCCCATAAGAGTGATATACCGATTTCCATAGGGCTTGAATCTGAGAAGTAACTCATTTTGTCTGTACGTTTCACAAAATAATAAACTCACCCAGTTCATCCCAGAACTGCCTGCATTTGTCGGTGAGCGGTGTGCCCTGTACCCTCCACACAGACAGCCGGGGGTCAGCCAAAAACTGTTCTGTCATCAGCATCAGCATCCTTGCTCCATTGGAGTCTCGGGCACGCAGCATTTCACGAACCTGACAAGAAAAGGTACACTCACATTTCATTCTACCGTACCAAATACAATAATAGTCTCTTGGAACAACTCAAATAAATTTTAGATTCCATTTTCTGTTTTTGTTTTTTGTTTTTTGCTTTTGTAGGAGTTTTACGGCGCTCGCAACTGCATAAGGTCATAATATTCCATTTTCCGATGCCCATATTACTATGCAAGGATCAACTATTCATGAGTTTTTACAATTAAGTTAATGAAAATAATAATATAAGCAGTTGTCAACATTCAACAACTTATATTTTTTCTCTTTTATACAAAACTTTAAATTTCCAGGTAAATACCCATACTACAAATAATGTAGTTCAACATTTTTTTAAAGTGGCTCAACAAAAGTTTTTTCAACGATTAAAATTTTATTTTTTTCTCACTAGTAATTCACCTCAGGACGCAATTTTATTGCAATGTTCTCTTTGCAAAAACTCATATAGAGCGTCTCTTGACCTCCAGCACCTATCAAAAAAAGAGTTTTGAAATACTTCTGTTCTTCAAAACCAGTCGATTTCCTTCCTTCTCTTTGCTATCTGTTTCAAACCTCACCACTAAAGAACATTTTTTTCTATTTAGTTGTTTCTCCTCCCTCTCCATTCCTCTCTCTATTTCTAGTCTTCCTCCTCTTTTTCGTTCATTTCATTGTCGAGTTGTCGTTTATAGCAAAACAACACAATCAATAACTGCAACATTTATCTGAGAGCAGAGCGTGGAAAATAATATAACAACAAGGAAGAAATATAGAATTGGGAAACCAATCTGCAACATGCACCGGCCATTATGTCCTCCACACTAATTTTTAGGTTTAGTTTTTAATTTTAGTAAAGGTTTTACGGTTTTTCTACTTGAAAAAAAACAAAAACAAACAATGACACAGGGTATTAATAAAAAGCCCAGCTATAAAGACTCACTTTGGCAAACATGGAGTGCAGCTGCGTGGAAGGTCCCGTGTAGCCACCTTGGGAGAGAAATGTGCGCACCTGCTCCCTCACCTGGTCCTCGTCCAGGTGCCAGGAGTTGTCGTCGTCCACGGAAGCACCAGCAGTGGGGTCGGGGGCCCCTGGAATCACGTTGCACATTTTGGTTTTTTAGTACGAGTTTTACAGCACTTGGAATATAAATTAGTCATAAAAGTGCCGAAGATTGGAGGAGATACAAGATATTTGGGGATTTTTTTGGTTTGGTTTTTTTTTTTAGTAAGAGTTTTACAGCACTTGCAACACAAATGGGTCGTTAAAGTGCCGAAGATTGAATTTGTCACAAGAGAGTAAATAACATACAAAGAAAAGAAGTAGGAGAGATAAGGATGACAGACGTTTGATAGGAGAAGGAACAAACCACCCCAGAGCACCCGCCAACCATCCACCTGAAAGGAGGAAGGGGAAGGAAAACAAACAGGTTACTATTACTGTAAACACTTCAGCAAAATTGACACAATAACGGCGGGGGTCCCCAAATGAGTTTGGAATATTGAGTTCAGGGAAGCCATTTACACACTGATTAGTGCAGAAAAAAAAAACCCAAGACAAACAGACAGACAGGAATAGATGGCAGAGAAGGAGGGCTACTCAGTGACACCCTCTAACCACCTGCGTTTTGAAATGAAGCCCATCAAAAAAATAAATAACACTATAAACGATGTAGACGGAGCTCACGACAAAACAGTGCCCATCAACCATCCACACAAAAAAATCATTGTTATTATTAACAGGAAATGGAAAAGACAAACATATCTGTGTTAGAGCAAGAATTTGCCATGGTCACATTCTCCAGCAATAAATACAGTTTACACACTGACTTCTTCTTCCTACTACTGTAACACCATAAGAGAATAAACAAATACCATAATAATTTTCACCCTCATACACAAAGTAACTCAACATAAACAGAATTTTGATCACCATCAATATTATTGTGTAAAAACAAAACCCCATATATCAGTCTCTTTCAAATCTGCATATATATTTATCTTAAACGTAGAAGAAAATCCATTGTATTTCATAAAATGAATTGATTTATCATATATTCGCTGAATATAACCTCGATTCAGATCTTGAACGTCGTCAACATAACCCAAACAGCTGTTGAAGTGTGGGAGCGAGAGCTCAACTTGGAGCAAGGGTTAACAGGTTTGATAATATTCATTGATTCTCAGTCCCCTGTGATGTAACTCTTAGCCTCAGGTGAAGCTAAACTCCAGCAGTTTTACTACAAAAGAGTACTTAACTGTTCTGTCCATAAGAGGGGAAGGCAGTGTGAACTTAAATAAACACACAGACACACGCGCACACACGAGTACACACAGGCGCGCACGTACGCACACACACGCAAGCATGCATGCATGCACACGTGCGCACAAGCACACACCCAGACAGACAGACAGACAGACAGACAGACAGACAGACAGACAGACAGACAGACAAAACAGACAGACGGGCAGACAGGCAGACAGGCAGACAGGCACACACATACACACACAAACACACACATACACACACAAACACACACACGTACACATACATACAAACACACACACACATACACACAGAAACACAAACACACACATGCACACACACACACACACACACACACACACACACACACATACATACATACATACATACATACATACATACATACATACACACACACACACACACACACACACACAAACACACAAACACACAAACACACACACACACAAACACACACACACACAAACACACACACAAACACACACACACACACACACACACACACACACACACACACACACACACACACTTCCCCCAAACTATTGTTATTGCTGCTGCCAATAACCACCATAATGGCCATATTATGCAAGGGACAGGAAGGAATAAGTCTCCAAAATGAACTAAAAGGCCAAGAGACTGCATACTTTCACTGTAATGTGATTTTCAGTTGGCCTCAGTTTCTGAGTAAAGAAAAATAACAATCATCAAAAGTTGGGAAACAGAGCAAGATGGGGGAAAAAATGGTGAAAATGGTATAAGTTTAACACCCCTATCAACACTATTAGGTTATTCAAGAGCTGTGACCTCTGAGTTAAAACGTCCATCTCCGAAAGAACCGAGCCAAATGGAAAATTCGTGTAAAGTGCCTTTCCCAAGGACACAACGTCGGACCAAGCTGAGGCTCGAACCCCGAACCTGCAACCTCACGATTACGAGTCCGGTAGCCTAACCACTAGGCTACCCATACCACTACAAATGGCCAGGAAAAATCTTAACCTACAAAGAAATAGAAGAAACAAACCACACAAGAGCATCCACAAGCAACCCACTAGACCCGCTTGGTTAATTGGTCGCTTTTAAGCACAAGGGTAAATTGAAGGTAAAGTTTTTGCCCCTTGTTCAGTTTCTTTAAAAGACAAGGAGACTTTTCTCTGTAACCAAACAAATATACACACTAATGAAACCAAACTAAACTTCTCCTGTAGGTAGGAGTTAGCCTGCTTGTCCCTAAAAGCGACCAATTAAGAAGAGTAGCAACAAACATGTTCATTACCCCCCCTCGTACCTGGAAGCATGTTGATTTCTGACTCTGCCTGCAATATTTGATCGGCAATTTTTTGAGCTGTGGGTAACACATCGGAGTGATGTTCTGTGATGAGGTACTGGGCAAACTTCTGCAGCTGTTCCCGCGACATCTGCAGCAGGGTCTCTGAGATGGGCACCCTCAGTTGGACGTGCTTGGCTTTGCGGATGCGGTAGAGCGACAGTGCCACCACGTGCTGGCACCAGAAAATGTCTTTGTTCCCGCAGCCACATTGTACCGAGGTGATCTTGCACCTGCGCACAAAAGTGTTTTTCCACGTGTTGAAATAAATGTGGTCGGTTACCAGGAGCCACTACATAAGCAGCCGCATCTCATCAGAAACAGACTAGAGATTATTAATACCCTGAGGTCTTTATGCTTACCCCTGAGCCAACCACTCGCCCTTCAAAATGATCGATAATTTTTAAAATACATTAAAAACCATTATTTACAAAACAAGTAAAACTTAAAAACACCTTTCTACCACCTGTGCTTCGAGGAGAGAGGGGGGGGGGGAGTTACTTAGTTATCTTCCATAAAGCTGAAGAAAGGCACATAAAAACAATGTTTATCTACTACAGACTGGGGAAAAAGCAAACTGACAGGCAATAATAATATATAAAAAGGGAAGATATAGTCTTGCCAAACTCCAGCCACTCCCATTATCAAGTTTTCCACTTTTGCATCCCCCCTATAGTCATTATCTCCAACTGCACAGTTATAGGTTGTAGACAAATTTATCTTTGGGAATTCTTTACAAATAAAAAGTCATTTGAGAAACACTGCAGGCTCATCTACCACTCTACTTCACTGTAAACATTTTGGTAGAATGGGAAAACTAAGACAAAAGAAAAAAAACATTCTTTTTTCCATCTCCTATGAAGAGAATACTGTATCTTTTCTCTTTGTCTTTGTATATTACTATCGGAAATCCCCTACCCGTGACTAGCTGTGGTAAAGAGAGAATCTTTTGATTCATTCAAATGTCAGCTGAAATAGTTTGTTTTTAATTTAATAAGATGAATATTTGGAGTGATTTTCTTTTAATCAGAACACAACGTTTTATGTTACTGTTGTACGTTGTATAGTATTGAAAGCATTCAGAGCCTGTGTACTTTAATCGGGGTTGAGCGCTATACAAATGTCATTTATTATTATTAATGTGTACCACACACAAACCTGAGGAAACTTTCAGGAGAAATATGGGAACACAAGACCTGCAAATCATTACCTAGTGCGTGCGCTGAGTCAAAAAAAAAAAAAAAAAAGTTCATTACTAATTCCTAGGAGAGAAAAAAACAGGCAAAAAGGGCAATAATCAGATAAGAAAGAAGCAGAACCAAACGCATTATTATTCTAATCGCCTTTAAATGACCATAGTTAAAGATTTTTCTTTATAAATAAAAAGAAAGCAGTAAGTAATCAGCATAATCTGACCTTTGACACAACTTACCTATCAAAACTAATGGAGACTTTGTAAACTTTCTCGGGCTGTGTCAGAAGTGGGTTGCTGGGTTCGGTCACTGAACCACTCAGGTGAAATCCTGCAGGAAGAGAACAAAAAAAATAATATGAAATTCTATTCGAATGCTTACTTGTATGTTTGCTTGAGTTGAAATAACAACGGTCATTCAGTGCCGGAGAAAAGCAAATTTATGGACAGAAAGGTCAAATGGATAGATCTAGTTGATTTTTTTTGTTCCTTTGAATAAAGAAAAGTACATCAACACAATAATAGTCATACAGTGCTGGGGAAAAAGTAAGACAGACAGATAGACAGAAACAACAGAGGAAAAGTAAAGAAATAGTAGAGAAGTAGGACCTACTCCAACCACCCCCTAATAGTAAGAGATAGACAGAAACAAGAGAGGAAAAGTAAAGAAGTAGGACCAACCAATGGCGCCCTCCAACCATCCACCAAATGGAAAGTAAAGAAATAGAACATACCAAAGATGAACGGGATGAGTGGGGTTTTTTTTAGTTATAGTAAGAATTTTACGGCACTTACAACACAATAAGGTCATATAAGTGCCGAAGATTAGAGCTGTTACAAGGGAGTAACAAACACAAAAAAGGAGGAGAGATCAGGACAATAGATGTTTGATAGGAAAGAAGGAGCAAACCACACCAGAGCACCTGCCAACCACCCACGAAAGTAAAGAAATAGCACATAGCAAAGATGGATGTGATGAGTGGGCACATAACTAACTTGTAAGTTAAAATATAAGATGTAAGTTGGACAGAGGAGTCAGGTTACGGTAGAGAT